TTTAATCTTTTATAAATAGCAATAAAATGATTTCGAAGACTGTAACAAAATACTGTATCAGTTCTTTATTCAATCAGAAAAAAAAAATATGTTGTGGTCATCCTTTATATCTTGAGGTCTGCGCTCGTATCAACATTAACAAGGGGTTGAAAGGCGCCCGAATCTGTATTTATTCAGATAGTCAAGCAGAAAATCAAAGCGTTATGCTCCTGAAAGTTTTGCTCAAAACTTCTAGCAGACTGCTATGACACACTGCAGCAGCTAGCAAGCAATAATAAAGTGACACTGTGCTGGGTGCCTGGTCACACGGGAAATAATGGTAATGAGTCTGCCGATAGTCTTGCACGGGCAGGATCAGCCACTCCAATCTGTGGCCCAGAACCTTTTGTGGATTAAGTTGGTCTACAACTAGGTCTCTAATCAATAATTGAATTTCAACCGAGAGAAGTCGCTACTGACGTGACAGTCGAGGTAACCGTTAGACTAAAGAGCTGGTTCTCCCCTATAGTCATAATAAGATGTCCTCCTTTAGCAGAACAGAGTTGAGGTTACTAGTTGGATATCTAACGGGTCACCAAGGGCTACGTTACCATCTCAACAAAATGGACCTATCCGAAGAGATAGATTGTAGACTCTGCTTGGAGGCAGAGGAGACAACCAGCCACATTCTATGTAACTGCCTAGCTTTGATCTGGGCCAGGAGGAGATCACTGGGTCGGGAATTGCTTCCGACATTAGGAGGTCCTCAACAACCGATATTTTGGCCTTCATTCGAAAGGCGGAATGTCTTTTGTTCAGTTAGGGTCTGTTGTAGCACAAAAGATCAATCATGGTCGCGGTGCTCTGCTCAAATGGGAGCTAGTACCATGTTCTTTCTTATTCTTATTCTTATTCTTTATATCTTCCAAACATGAAGACATCATCTTATTTTCACGTCATAAGAATATGATATATATTCTTACATCACAAGAATACGATGTATATTCTTACACTATAAGAATATGATCTATATTCTTACATCAAGATAATGCCATGTGTCATTAGTTAGTGATAATGATAATTAAATTGTACTGGTACGTAAGATTCTACGTGGATTTATAACAGTCTGAATTTTCGACTGGATTGTAGTGACACTTTTCAATGTTTTACTTCCACAAAATAGAGCTGTTTTTATGTTCTTATTGGATGTGCATAGTTTTGTAGAGGTAAATTAGTGTTGAGTGGTTGGGATCTAATAGAATGTCCAAATTATATCAGAACTTAATACAATTTCCTGCTGCACTAAACTACATGTAGCAATCTAATAATATTTATAATTGTCTTTTACATTATATTGTAGAATAAATATTATACATTAAAATAATATAATAAACGAAGCACATACAGTAATGCACAGGAATATATGCATATATATATGAATATAATTTTATTATAGCTTTTCTTTTTAAAGACAATTATATACTTTAATTCCAACTACTCTATCGACCTTTAGCCATTAATACTTCGGTTAATTAAATATAAAAATACAAAACCATAAATAATAAAAATCTAAATCTTAGTTCCAAGAATGGCAGAGTCTACGTCCCAGAGCCACACGTTACCGGCGACGACCAAACGCCGTTCAATAGCTCTAGCTCAAAGGGACTTCACCTGCTTGTGAAGTACAGATTACAACAAAAACATAAAAATCTAAGTTAATATAACTAAAATATAACTAAATTATTTTGTAGGGCTTTATTAAAATTTTAATCAAAATATGTATGTATACGTCATTGACAATTGAAAAACACTCAAAACAAACAATGTAAATGTAACAATATAATTTCATTTTTTTTTAATTAATGACAAATTTCTAATGAATTTAAATTAACTGATTATAAAATTAACTGGTTATTGTAAAATTAACGTTACAAAATTATATTTAATTAACGCCAAAACATATATATAAAAGTAATAACCGCCAAAACAATAAACGTGATGAATAAGTTGCGGCGAATGTGGTACTTCCTATCTACTGCTCTAAAAAGTTCCGCAAGTTGTGCCATGATCGAAGGACGTCTGCGTTTGTCGTGCACCAGTGACTTACGTGGACGTGGAGTTAAATTTTCCGCCATACCACCACTGTACTTGCCGCCAGCAATGCGATCCATATGTGGAGACTTCAAGCGATCCAAAGTACGTGCAAAGTTACTTAAAAACGGCGTGTCGTATGCATCCGTATCTGTATCATCGCTCTGCTCATTATAATAAGCGTTAGTTTTTCCTGCCAATAACGAGGGGGTACCACCTAAAAAATGTGCAGAACCAAGGCTTAAAGGCGAAGCATATTTTGAAGCGTAGCCGGTAGTTGTGCTCACAGGTTGTGAGTATTTCAAATCTCCAACTGGAATGTATTGATGTTGTTTGGCTTTGTTAGTTGGTTCCTTAAATAGGCTTCCTGGCTCAAAGTGTTTTTTCTCAACTTTCGAGTAGACATCAGTATGTTGGTGTGAAACTGGCGCTGATGACATAATTGGTTCTTCCTGTATTGGCTGTACATTACCATCAAAGGAAACAGTAACAACACTTGATTTCGAAAGAGAAACGGAACGGGTTGAACGTTGACGCACAATAGGCTCAACTTGTTCTTGTTCTTCGATGATAGTGTCAACATCTTTTTTAGCTGCTGCTGCTGCTACTGCTACGGGCACAGGAATGTTGCTCTTAGTAACAGACACTGAACGTGTGGTACGCCCGCGTACCGGTACACCACGTTCAACTGCTTCTGCTTGTGCTGTCGCCTTTACTAAATCCATGTCATCGTCACTTTCAATGGCAATTGTATCAATTACGGTTACTGGCGACACTTTTTGTACGCTAGCTTCGCGTTTTTTAGTAACCGCGATTGCAGCTGTAGATTGTTCTGTACCATCGACAGTTTCATCACTGCCAAAGGGTTTAGTAACGGCAATTGTACGTCTGTTGGCACGCTTAGATTTATCCTCTACCACTTTATCAGCAACTTTTGGTGCTTCGGAGTACCGTTTGTTTTGCTTGGTAGGCGTGTCCGGCTTAGTTCCACTTAAAATGGCACGCAACTTCTTGGTAAGTATGCTTCGGCTTGCATCAGTTACTGGAATATTCTTCATGCCATTCTCAACACACTTACTATGCAGTTCAGCATTACTTAATTTGTCCAAATCGTCAACCTCGCTAGACATTTTATCACAACTCACAAAATTTCTGCCGTTTGAAGAAGAGTCAATTGCGCGTTTAAAGCGCTTCGTTAAAAAAGGATTCGTTCCATTAGTTGAAGTTGCCACTTAGTTTCAATTAAGCTTTGCTGTTCAATAATAATTTAAAGTTTATAAATATAACGTTTCTTTGCAAATTATTATATTATGGCCGTGTGTGAGTTCGAATAAATTAATAGTAAATTGAGGGAAAATTGATACTTACCAGAATTTCGGGTAGGGTAAATTAGATAAAAATTAGGTAAATTAGGTTTTACCATTGTGAAAATTTTATAAAATGTTTAATAAATATATAAATAAATTTGAAAATTTTTGACCAAAAATAATAAATAAGTGAATAAATAAATAAATAAATGTTAACATAAGTGCAGTGCAAAAAATTTCTGTAGGAAATTTCAATTTACTTTACCTCAATTTACTCGAACGCGCACACGAGCTTTATATGGTGTTATATACATATAATGGACACAAATTTATAATTTAATCTGATAAAAGCTCGTAAAAAAGAAAATAATTTATTTGTTAATTTTTAAAGAGAAAAACTCCATTAATTCGTAGTAAATAAATATATCAAAAATAAACATTCTAATTTTTATTAAATTAAACTAAAAATAGCATAACTTACCTGTTCCGCTAATGTTTGTTATTTTCTTAAGTCCAGGCTATAATGACGCTTTCTGTCTTTTAAATAGAAAACTTAAATAGCTTCTAACTACTTAGTTCTGTGCCTGATATTCATATAATTTTATTTTAGTATTGAAGTTGTTATATGAAATAAAACAGGGTTGAAATAAAACACCAATATCACTATGATATCAAAAGAAAAAATAATAAACACAACCAAAGTAACTAAAAACTTTATGCCATCAAAAATATTTCTAAAGAATATATTTCCAGCGCTATGTAATATATCATTATGCAAATACAATATAATGTTGAATATTGGCTGCTGAAAAAATATGTATTCATATATAAGCGAATACAAGTATGTATATAGTATGTAGGAAAAATATTGACGTCGCGCATATAATCTTAATATGTAAATAAGTTAAATGTCATTTAAGTACTAATTTTTGAGTTATGTTGTAAAAAATCAGCTGAATTGCTATACTGTATGAATAACGTTCCATAATTTGTTCCAGAGTAGAATAAGGGGAAAACGTGAGAGCAAATTGAGTTTTGATTTTTGACGTTAAGGTAAGAGAAATCTTATATCAGATACAAACATTAAGCAATTGTATGGCATTTCTCTGTGCGTGAAATATTTTATGATCGGTGTGAACATATGTTGTTTATATTTCAATGTGTTTATGTTTCTAAGTTTTTCGAAATGTGTAATTTGTCGTAACTAAACACTTTTACTGCATTCTTCTCTTTTCATATTTTATATTCGTTACATCCGTTCAGCCTCATGAGCTACATCCAATTGCATTTTTACAACACATACTTTTGTTAATTTTTGCGTTCCAAATGAGAGAAATTCTAAGTTGTGCCGATAATGTAGTGATGTGTCGATACGTGTTGATAAATGGGTTAATGTGTGCAGTGTAAAAAATCCCAAAAAATCTTCCATTTGGTTTAGCATCAACTTAGCCTAACTCGCACACGTTGTATATATATCTATTTCACAATACGGCGTAAATATTTACTAAATGCTTTAGTTCTCAAATATTCTCGTTAAATATTTGATATGGTACCTTCATTGTGGAACTTAACGAAATTATTTCGATGTAAAGTGAGACTCGCAATTTGGGTCTTCAATTGAACATACCTAAACCGAACAGCTGATTTTGCCATTGTTGTGTTGAAAATTTTGTGACTCAAACCTTACAATAAACAAAAGTTTTATTAAAATAAATTAAACACTAGCAATCACTGCACAAGATGGATATTAGTAAAGTTAATAATCAGAAAAAGCTCGAACTTTGTCGTGCATATTTTCGAGGTAAAACGAAATCAAATAAAATTTGTTTAGGAATACAAAGTTAATATTTTATAATTTATATCAAAATGCAAAAAATTTTAAATTTCAGCTGGTTTTGCTTTATTGCCTTTCGTATGGGCCATTAATGCATATTGGTTTTTTGCGGAAGCTTTTCGTAAACCGCCTTTTCTAGAGCAGCAGCAAATAAAGAAATGTAAGTGGCGGACAAAAATTTTCTTGGATTTTTAAAAAATATAATAAATGTTAAACTTTACAGATGTTATTTACTCAGCATTTGGCACATTTCTCTGGTTAATAGCGTTAAGCATTTGGGTAACAATTTTCCAAATAAAACGTGCTGAATGGGGCGCGTATGGTGACTATATCAGTTTTATAATACCACAAGGAAGGGCGTAAACTTTTTTTCTTCTTACAAAAAATAGCTTAAGTACTAAAACCATTTTTAATTAGCATTAAAAAAATTTAATCATTAAAAACATTTATATACTTTAACATATATATTTTCCATTGTAAACATTCTAAACAATATTAAAAAAAATTTATTGACTAACTTTAAGCCACTTCATTTTCTGTTTGTGTGCCTGATTGGAGTTCCTTAAGTTTACCTTCGAAGAATGATTTTCTTAATGTAAGCGGGATTGTTTTCTGTCTTATTAAGTAGTTTTCGTTGCCTTTGGCTGTGTATTGGTCATTATTGAGTAGTGCACGTAATGCCATGTTACGTTTTAAAAGCTTCTCATAGTAGGTCGTTCCGACTTCCACAAAGTCTGGTCCTAGCTCACATAGTTTCTTATCAATATCAGCATCGTAGGTTACTTGGTTGAAATCTTTCAGAAAAGACCACGACCCAAGACCGAACAAACCCAAAATGGAATACAGTACCAAACGCAACTGAAAAATATTTTTGTAAATTTTATTTGCTTTTAATTTAATAGCGTTTAACTTACCGCCAATGGTCGGGCATAAAAATTGTTTCTTAAATTTACATAATTTCCGACTGCATACATGCCAATAAACGTGATTGAAGGAAATATCGAGTTCATCAGGATTTTATGTGTCTGTAGCTGAAGAATTGATTTACAGAAACTAAAAATCTGCTCCTGTTCTGTTAGCACAATAGATTCTTCGAGTAGTTTCCCACTTTCCGAATTCCAGTTGATCTCTTTATCACGAAAACGTATCTCACTGCGTTTGATATCATTTGGACTGGCATAAGAGTAATTGACGGGAATACCAAACTCAGAACCAAAACGATATTTTATGCTACCTAAAGAATAGGATTGTTTATAGATGCTTAAAAGTATTGTAGATTCTGTAATGCACCTGCTTGAAATAAATCAAAACCGACCACAGTGAAGGGTCTGATAATTAACCGTTCATACCGACGTAATTGTAATATGTCCATTGCTTTCTCGAGGCGCTGCTTAACATTCTCTGGCACTTCCCGTGGTATACCATTTCTGTAAATATATAAATCTTTAAAAATTTTTTCCAATTGTTTGAATATTGTACATTGATTTACTGATAGCTCTGCACAAAATCTTTGTAGTAACCGAGTCCAAACGTGTGTGGCAAAAAGTTTCCCATAAACAGCGAAACGGCTGTTGCTCCAGACACGATTAACATCGTTTGACGTCCCCTTTTCGTCACGAAAAACTCAAAGAAGCTTCTTTTTTTGGGTTGATTCATTGTTAAATTTTTATTCATTTTTGTAAAAACTGTGCTTTTAATTTATTAAAAGTAATATTAATTGTATTATATTTGCTTTTTATCTTCGCAGCGCTGTTTTGTAACAACAGCTGATATTTAGCCGGATAGTAGCTGCGAGTCTCGAATTGCATAATTGACGTCAATGATATTAAGCTATGTTCTTTGTGTTTTGTTTTTATTTTGAAAATGCATTAAAAATTTATTATGAACGTTGTTTTTATATTTAATTATATATTATTAAGTTAAAAGCTAAAATAAGTTATAATAGCTGTTGTCTGTATTCAAGTTGATGTTGTCTGTATTAAATGAGGGATATTCTAAGTTGTGCCGATAATGTAGTGATGTGTCGATACGTGTTGGTAAATGGCTAAATGTGTGCAGTGCAAAAAATCCCAAAAAATCTCCAATTTGGTTTAGCATCAACTTAGCCTAACTCGCACACGACCTTAACCTAACTCGTACACGTCCTTAAGGAACCTAGCATTTTTTTGTAGTCCATACTTGACCCGATTTTGATATAAATCTTTTTTCCCATTGACCCATTATTATATAGATCAAAAATTAATATAATATTTTTAAAATTAAGTATATTAATATTAATAATATTAATAATGATAATACTAATAATTGAAGTAATATAATTAATAGAAATAACTACCTTGTTCTTGAGGTTTCAACAGAATCAATAATGTCGAATAATTTTATCAAATAATAAATATTATACATTTTTGAATTTAAATTAATATATTTCTTTATTATTACTAGGCCAAGGTAACGATATCGTTCCATGAGTAATTTAAATCCTTCAATTTGCGTGCCATTGTTCTTCTGCAAATCATGGTCGACGCCCTGGTCTCCTAGTACTTTGCGGTTTCTACCTCAGTGCTTGTCTAGTAATGTTGCTATTTAATCTTTTGAAATGTGCCCTATCCAGCCCCTTTTCCTTTTCTTTAATTTCACAACATAATTGAGCTTCTCCTTATAATCTGAAAATTTGTAGAGACAATTTGAACAAATGAAAGATAGTTCATTTATTATCTTACAAGCCTGGGTTTTATTGGAACTTCTTCTGATAATAAAATTTATACAGATCCATGGGTGCACTGTCAAGAAAACATTCTATTGAACGTGGGACCATTATAAAGACAATAAGTGTCGGACGCAAGAAAAATTTCTTTAACAATGGTTTATTATGTTATATAACAAGATCAATAAGAAGTTTCTTGTAATACTAACGTGGTCTCAAAACGACGCTAAAACGATATGACGTCAATATGATTAGCCCTTGTCGATATTCGATTCAACTACTATTAATTTAGTTGCAATAACCTTTTATGTATGCATACAAAGGATGGAGTCTATGGATGCATAGCGGGAAAGTGTTGACTGTTGAAGAGCCTTGATGATTTCTCCCCATGTGGGATTCTAAAGACGCATTGAGAGTATATCTTTAATAACACACAATTCCGCATAAAAATAGTAAGCACACGATGTTAGACAGCTTAAATGATAAAACTAAATGTTATTCCAGTGTATATGACAGAGCTGGGTTTTCATACCAGACATTATCAAACATCACATTACTTTGTATGTATCCAGTAACGTTTCTTTATCATTGTCCCAGAATAGCCGACGAAACTTTTAAGCGCTTTCTGAGACATTTCAACCGACCGCACAAAGCAAAGGTAGGGGTAAAATAAAATAGCGTATTGTCGAGAACATGACATCTACGATTTTTAATCTGTTAATTGTGAAGATCCTAAATTGATCAACGAAAATTAATTATAAAAAATATATATATACCTATACATTGAATTATATGCTATCAATCCATTAAATACTAGCAAAATGGATGTATAGGACTAAGTTCATCATATTACTGTAAATGGTTTTCCAAATATTCTTCACTTAATAATCTATAATAACATATTCAGCTCTCCTACTTGAATGATCCATTTATGCAAAGGAATGTGAATAAATATCTTCATAAGGAAATGCGATACTCTCCATTAGTTGCTCGGACTTTCTTAAAATAATATATGTAGGTCAGAATAAAATTTTTTAAGTTATTTTTATTGTAAATTTCTATAGTTCAACATATCTGTAATGATGACATGTAATGACATGTTTCAGTTTTTATTAATTGTTTGTAAAGTTCTCTTAGTTGTTGG